AAAAAAAAAATCATGAAATTGCATGATAAAAACTGCCGTATAATCATTTTTTTCAAGTTTGTAAATTTATTTTGCAGTGTGCAAAAGAATTGCATCAAAAAGTAAATGTGGTTAGGCAATTCGCGTAGGATTTACGGGATAAATAGGGTTGCCTTCATAGAGTTACAAACGTCACGGGAAAAACGGCGATTGAATCGTCATCGACATTGGCGGAAATCAATCTGCCCGCCGGCAGTTCGGGCAAATTGCTGTGATAATTACGACACGCGAGGTCCATTGCGAGTGTCGTTTGTCTCGCGCGATGTATCAACTGTCAATTAGAGACGAGTGAGAATCTCACCGCAGGCATTTTATAAAAAAAACAGAGGAGAAGAAGAAGAAGATGAAGAAGAATGTGAAAAAAAGCCGATCAGTCGCTCGTAAAAAATTTTTAAATTTAAATATTATGTGACGCGTATCGTTATATCACTCATGTTAAGTAAATCACATCTTTTTACAATTTGGTTTAACAAAATCGATACGCGCGGATCGCAAGTTGCAAGGTATAAATTTCAGGTTCTACGGCACTCTCCTCTCTCGGAGGTCTCTCTCTCTCTCTCTCTCTCTCTCTCTCTCTCTCTCCGCAAACCTTTCCCGTTGTATTTTCTACTTGGGCGTTAGGGCAATAATTCGCTGCGAACAGCGCCGGCTACCAGTCGCTATCTCCTAGAAAGTGCGAGGCTTACCGAGTGCGTAAATATGTATTAGCCACAGGCGAGTGCGTGCATCGGCGTCCGGTGCACTTTTCCGATTTCACGCCGCGTGGAAAACAGCCTGAGCGGAAAACGAACCGGTGCGGCGCGCGCGAGTGGTTAATCGCTTTTATCCGTCATCTCGTTCGGACGGCGCGACCGGTTTCCAGCCACACCGTCGGAATCGGGTTAAATGCGAGTCGGCGGACGCAAACGTCGCGCCGCCGATCGGACTCTTTGCCAATAAAAGAAATATATATATAATATATATATATATATATATATGCAGGAGTTATCGTCCGTCCGCGCACTTTCATTAACACTCGCGCTTACATTTTCTCACGTGCGAGCGTTAGTCGAGTCCACTTTTTTCTTTCTCGCAATCGAGAAAACCCGAGCTCGGGGCTCGTTGCGCGATCATTTAAATTCGCGCCCGACGCGATGCGGGAGCACGCCGGATAATTAATTTAGTAATTACGTACGTTTAATCGCAAAAAGAGAAGGCGCTCGAAAATATCCCGGTTTGATTTTGATGAATTTCGAATTTCTGCCGCGGTAATTAATTGTCGGATAGAGTTCTTTCCTTTGCCGTGCTTCTCGCGTTCGTAAACTGGTTCATCGTATGCCATTAAATTTTATTTACGAACAGAACGAAACTTGGTAAGTTTGGAATTAATGATAAACTTCAGAAGAAAGCAGAAATATCTCGCTCGGTGCGTTATCGCGCGGATTGCAATCCGAGATGAGAGCACACGATGAAAGTAAGTTGCGCAATGACTGCAGCAGCTACAGTGCGATCGATTACGAGCAAAAAGTTACTGCACACAACACGCTTGCACGTTCGAGTCACTACTGAAACCGAGCATTCTTTTTATCGTTGAAAAAAAAAAAAAAAAAATACGAGGACTCTCCGGCCGGTTAATGTAATTTTAAATTGAAACACGAGAAATTTCCGATCGAGCACATTTACCGGAGCTTCGTAGAGAGAAATGTTCTCAGGAGGCGTTTACCAGTCATCACGTTCGGTAACAGTACATAACTATTTTAATTAACAGTCGTGTTGAAGCTCGACAGCGCTGAAATATTTCCCACGAGGTGCGGAGAGAGCGTGTTTTATCGGAAAAACAAGGTATCATATTCGTTTAATTAAGAAGTATTGTAACAAAATGCCGATATCATAAGTAATCTACGGTATAAATGACCATTTATAATTGAATCTCTAATTTATCTCTTTTTAATGCTCAACACTCAAGCCTTATTTCAATGTTTTGATACGTCTGAAGATACAGACGCGTAATCCGAAGGATGTTATTTTATTGTAAGCGAGCCGCGTAATTCTCCACTTCGAGAAAGTACATAGTGTAAAGATCAGTTTGTAATCAATATATTGAACGCGCCGATGAAAACCTGCCGATCGTATTACATCACGCAGGTCGGAGGAGGGGGGGGGGGAAGGGTCAAGTATGATTTACACAGTTAAGCTGGCGTTTACGCGCGAGCTTAATCGCAACGCGTTTGTGCGCGAAAATAGCACGAAAATAGCACGAAAATAATTCGCAAACGCCGAAGAAGCGGCGCGCCGCTGAAGTCGGCTCGGCTGATTTATGCGGCTCGATTAATCTAGGTTACTGCGCTATCGGGCCCGTTTGCGTATTCGCATAATCGGCAGGGTGAACGAACCCTCCTTCCTTCCTCGTTTCGCGATCGCGATCGTTCATCGAGGAAAGTAAAAGAAAAACAGGTCTACGCGCGCGCGCGCGCGATGAAAAAAGCGACTCGATCGCCCCGAGAGATTCGTTCTACTACGACTAATTGCGATGTGTCGGATTGCTCGATCGCGCGATTCGCGGACGGTATCTTTTCTTTTTCCCTTTTTCCGCATAAATTAAAGGATTTTTCCGCGCGTTAAACGTGTGTTGAAAGGTGGAAATTGAAGCCGTCCGGACAAACGGCTAACTGAAATGATGCATATTTACATGAAGTTACATTATTACATCGCTTCGTGGGATTAGCATGGCCGGCCCGAAGTTATATTGTTTTAACAACGATGTACGATGACAATGCGATAATGTAATTCAACAGAGTAGTTCGTTTAACGAGCAACAAAAACGTTTATCGCGTGACTCGATATCCTTTGCATTTAATTTCCTTCGCGAAATAAGTACGAGATTTACGAGGTACATTCGCGGCGCGTCGATAAATATATCGACGTCGATTAATTTGCTATTTTCCTACGTTATACGTTCGCTTCCGACGGACGAAACGTCTCCCCTATCTCGGGGGTGACACGCGAATCGGCGTAGCGGCCGCCCTGGTGCACTCCGATGTCGTCTTCTCCATTTATCAAATCGTCTCTCCGGCGCCTACACTTTAATCAATACGAATTCTCTGGTCCGTAAACTCGCCTACTGTGATATCGCGTCAGACTCGATGCTCGATTTGTGCTTCGACCGACTCGTTGAACGATGTTTCGTAATCGAAGCTCGGCCATTACTATGATCCAATTTGTGCAACGTGATTATTATGTGCGCGGGGTCAACGATATGTTTCGAAAATATACATACATATTTCGAGAATATTATTAGAAATATTAATCTTACACATACGTGCGGTGTCATAATATTATTGTATTATTATATAAAATTATATTATTATTATTATTATTATCCGGGGAATACGCCGGTGCTATTTATGATGATGTTCGTAAAAGCTTGCGTAAACAACGGCTCGTTCAACCCCTTCATACGCACAATCGTGCGTACGCACCTACGTAACATAAATGTGATGCTTAAAGTGGCTAATTAAAGCGAGTAAAGTCTGATAACAAATAATAAACTAACAAGAAATCGTATCAAGATATCGTAAATTATTAAAAAAAAAAAAAAAAAAAAACAAAGTTTGTAAAAATTATTTAAATCGTGGTCCACGCATTTTTGTGGACTTTTATAAATTCAATATAAAATATTTAATAAGTGCTTCGTTCTCGATGACTCATTTTGTATCAGCTACACAACAGAATTTTCTGAATTCCACAAAGATTCAAATATCGACAAGCCTTTATCGTACGAAAATAGTCAATACAAAGAGGCGTTAGTTTGATCGTTTCACGTTTTTGAGAAGATGAAAAATCGCAACGCAAAATCGTATCCTCGATCAGATCGATGGAACATTTTTAACAGCGGGGATGGCATTTCCGCCCCCCCGCCCCCGCCGAAGGGGGGGCTTTATTTATAGTCAATAGACTAGTTTGCGTAAGTCAACCGATGCACTCTCAACCCTTTTTAACGTGCGTAAACCGCACGTACGCCACACAAAGACATGGGGCACCCACACAGGCGCAGGCGCAAGGCGCGTCCGCGCGGAAAACTCATGGCGAGAGGCGAGTATATTCACCTTAAGGCCTTTAGTCTAGTGCCGTCGTACGCGACGTGCGCATCGCGTTCACTGTGTGGCTCGTATCTCTTCGTCGAGAGTGCATTATCGCGAGTCTAGCCGATTAGGAACTCGGGACGAACCCTCCGATGCATCTTGAGGGGGAAACTCGAAATTACCGTGCGCCTCGTATTTTTCCTTCCAAATCACTGCGGTTTGCTCATCGCAGATAAATTCGTAGAAATCTCTGTCTGTGTAGAAATCTTGTCGTAGAAACCGATATCTTTATTTTAGCTCCGAGCTTATGACGTAGTCATAAGTGATACGGTAATCTACCGCCGTTCTACTTCATTTTTGTGAAATTGTTCAGTGAGATGAGAATTTAATCGCACGTCAGAGAATTAATCGACTCCAATTAAGAATGTTTTGTATTGTAATCGTATAGCTTCAACGTAGACGTAAACGGGACAGTTTATTTGACATCAATTACGTGTTAATTAAACTATGACGCAAACGTCTGTATCGCCTGTGAAAATCCACGTCCACCTGACTTTCTCGTCGCGATGTAACTTCTTGACGTTCACTTTCAACGCTTGATACTTCGTTCGATAATTACTCGATAATATAAAATGGGAAAGTGATGATTAAAAATGGCGTTTTCGATCGCTCGAGTCTCGTCCGATTGTTCCAATCTTGGTTTGACGTGCTAACTTTTCGGCAGAGGTGCATCTTACATCAACCTCAAACATCGCCTCCAATTGCGAAAGTAATAACTCGACGAACGGATCCTCGGTTAAATGGAAAAGTGATTATGCAAAACGCGAACGTTGTGATCGTTCGTCGCGATGGTCGGATGACGATGCTCTTTCGCTCCGATGAGAGGCTCATCGGGGTGGGATGCTAATTGGCGATCGCACGGAAAACGTGATTGTACCCGAGAGGTTCGAAGCCTCGTTCGGCAGGGTGGAAGATGCTTGGGCATTTCGGTAGCAACGAGAGCATATTGGGCTACCTCACAGTCAAAGGTACAGATATCACCAGGAATTTCCAAGAGATAGGTCACAGTGATGGAAACTCAACTTGAAATGAAAACAAATTAATAATCGTTTTGCAGCAAAATGCCTTGGAGATTTCAATAAGAATACGATATGTATTCTCAGAATTATAACGGGAAAATAGCATTATTAGGAAAAACAATGAAATTAACGATACGTCGTATTATATCAACAATACTCGATAAGACTCGGTACTTGTCTTAATTATAACAGCAAGACTTCGAGCACCCCGCACGTCCGCGTTATCAGTTTCATTATGCCGAGGGTGATTGAGCACGATGAAACGTTCGCGTCGTAAAAATTTATTACAGTTTGATAAGCGGTAAGAGCTCGGTGCAAGGCGAAGGAAAGTGCAATTTTCTGACAATGCTCCGTAACAATGTGCTCGACCAAATTTACGGTAATTTAGCGCCGCGCGAGACAACGAGAATTCATAAATTAGCGCCCGAGTCACATTTATGCATTCGTGCACATGTGATAATTTACTTCGACTTGGAAAGCCAGTAGAAAGCTGCCTGTTATAATAATTCTTATTACAGAAATAACGACAAATTCGACTAAAACTTTGCTTTTTTTCTCGCGCATTCTACTTATAATACAATCCGCAGCATTTATTATTAAATCTTTATATTTATTTGGATAATCGAGATCTTTAACTACAAATGCCAATGTAATATGAAATTTTACACGAAACTATGAATCTTTAATGAGGCCAGCAACATTTTTATATAACTTTCATGACGATAAGCTTTTTGTAATTAAATCAAAGCCACATAAATTTCGTAAGCAATTTCACCTAAGTTTCTCACTCAAGATCAAATAATTCGAATTGCTAGAACTTCAAATTAATATAATATACGCGTAAAGAAAAAAGAGAAAATCCATAAAAATGTACTTTTTTATTTCTAATACATATTGTATTTCCAATGTTCTTTATCATCTAAACTGTCCGAATTTTAAACATAAATTGAAACCATTTGAAACCAATCACTGCCTAAATTTGAAATATTTGAATTACTCGAATTATTCGAATTTAAGTTTTTCTTTTTGACTTTGAAACATATCGAATATACAACTTGTTTGAACTTTTTATCTAAACTCTATGTTTTAAAAGTGATAAAGTAATCTGTTTCCAATATAGATTTCAATCTTGGCTTCATTTATTTTTTATTTTTTCTAATTCTTAAAATTAAAATGAGAAAAAAAAATGAGAAGTAAATTAAACCGAGATTAAAGTCAATCTAGACTAAATCGAAATGGAGATAGGAGTCACATTAATCTGTTTTTTTCCACAAAATTGTGTAATGAATTGATATTACAAAAATTTGTAGTTTGTATGAAAGCTTTTAAATTAATCATTAATTTAATGTTTATAATTTTGAAATGTTAATTGATTTCATGTATATTCTCCGTTAATTATTTTAGACTCTGAATTTCGCAGGCATATTCTTTATGACATTTATATATTAATTTATACAGATTATGAATTGATTATTATTAAATAATGCTCTTTTATTACAAATTTATTCGCATGCCTCCCCACAAAATATACTTTACTTATATAAGATAAATCTGACAGATACGTGCGTATGGCCATTCCCGTGTTTATCCAACATTTATCTTTTTCCGACGACCCTTTCCGATAATGGCGCAGCCACGGGACTTGTCATAAAAGCCGTCATTGTGCTTTTCCCCAATCCTCTATTTCTCATTTTTCTCTACCCTCTTGTCATATCGTGGAAAAGGAGATCGATATCGCGTCTGGATGTGTACTTGCTTGGTGCAAACTGCCACTACAAATCTCACTTTGTAAACAATCGAAAAGACCACAAGGGCCACATCTTATCGTGAAAACGATTACAAGACATTTCAAGTAACAATGACAAAGTTCACAATCAAGTTCAATACACTGAGAATACAGAACGATGCACACCTCGTTAAAAATTTTTTAGTTTAATATTTCCAATTTTTTATTATTCGTATAATATACATTTGCATAATTATATTTTTATTTAATTTGTATTTATTATAAGAATAACCACACAGAAAAAAATAACCTTGGCACTTAAACCAAGACTTAAATTTTTCCGAGACTAAGATGAACTTAGCCTGAGGTTAACACATAATTTCGTCCTCTTTACACTTTGACAGGCTATTTATAAAAAAATTTGCATAATCCCTTTATTATCAATTCAAATTAAGTAACTTCCTAATCGAAAGTTGGCTGCATTATTCAAGGAAACTGCCTAAGTTTTTGCAGTTTAGCATTCTCTATTTCTTTTTTAAAATCTGTATTTCTTAAGTTTCCGCGTTAAGGAACTAAACCTCGTTGGCTGACTTTACGCGTTCTTTCTTTTTCTTTCCGTCGTGGCTCCGTCATCGAAAGTATCATCGAGAGCGATCGATGACGCGTCGAAAGGATAATCAAAGAGCACTCGGCCAGCCGTGACTCACACTTGTCCACGTTGTCTTTTGAATGCCTGGATGGCTGGGTTTATCCTCGTCGAGGTGTTTGCGAACGACGGGTCGGAGTCACGATGCGTAACTTCGCCTCGTAACGGTAGTTTGCCGAGTGCGACTCGCAACTTACGCGTTGTTCGCGCCTCGTGGAAAGTGCGGCGCGCGCGCACACACATACCGGTTTCATTTTCATTTACCGCCTCGTAACTTGTTTCTACAGAAACGCTGCACCGCCGCGACGCCGTTTCCCGTCGCGTATATATGTCATCTGCAATCCTATTTATCTCACTTTTCAAAAGTGACATGTTTACCGCTCGCTATTGCAATAGCGAAACTGTCTCGCCTGTAACTGTCGTCTTGATCTACCGCTCGCACGTATATAGAAAATTTTCATAAATATTATCTAATACAACTCTTACATTTATTTCTTTTACTTTGCGGTTTTTCTTTATTTAATGAACTTGCAAATTCAAGTGGATTAAATTGATATTAATTTTAACACCGTAATCCGTATTGGAATAAGAAATGTCTTCTATCTCCGTAACACACAAATAGGTGCCTACAATTAATTCTATTTATTTCGTTTTTCAAAACTGTGACATGTTGATACCTCGCAACAGGACACTTACATTTATAATTATCGTTTTGATGTATGTTTACACATGTAGAAAATTTTCATAAATATTTTCTAAATTTTATGATTGCATTTCTTTAAGGATGCAAATTAAAGCGGATTAAATTAATAATTAATAATTAATTTTAATACATTTTAATTTATATGTTGGAATAAGAAATGCTTTCTATTTCCACAAAAAATATATATCGACCTATAATTAATCCTATTTGTTTCATTTTTCAAATTGACATGTTTACGATTCGCTATTGCAATACAAAACTGTCTCACTTAAAACTATAACTGTTTTTGATCTACGCTTACACACACACACACACACACACACACACACACACAGAGACAGAAAACTTCATAAATATCTAATACAATTATATCTAATACAATTTTACGTTCGCATTTCTTTCTTTAACGAAGATGCGAAATTAAAGCGAAATTAAATTAATATTAACTTTAATAATACTTTAATCCACAGGCTGGAATAAGAAATACTTCCGTGATAAATATACGTCTGCTTATAATTAATTGGAAGTTTCCTTGGTCTTCAGCGAACGATGCGGGCGCAGCGAATAACGCGTGAGAAATTTGAGGCGGACGACGAGCGCACGAATCTGCATGATAAAACGTTTGCGAGATTCCTCGGCTTCTCTTTCGCATTCGCAACGTCGACGTCGGCGGTTTCGCGGTAAGCGTCGCGCCGCTCGTGATGATCCGCGCGGCGATATCGTTCGCATTCCACGGGGTGCACGTCACTCGGCCGGGCCGCCGCCTCGTCGGGGAGTAGTGTTCTGAAAAATTGCAGAAAACTTGCACACGCAAAACTGCACGATCGCTTATACGATCGCCCGATAGTCATGACGTAATAAAATGCACGGTCAAAGATCAATAAATATCGCTGGCGTGTCGTTCGTTTCGATATCTTTGTGTCTCAGGAATAAAAATTAAGAGCTGGAAAAGAAAACTTAATATCGCATATATAATTATTTTCGATTATTATTAAAATATAAATACGATTCTATTTTATATAGCCAATATATTATATTACGTCATCGTAAATTTTCTTTATCTTCGCGATTAATAATAATCGCACGAAGATTCCGGTATGCTTTTAATTTGCTCGATGAGCTCGAGAAGCCGACAGTCTTCACATCACTTTACAGTGTCGCTCTCGATTTCACGCGTTGATCATGAAAGTAATCTTGACACTAATTCGCACATTATCAATTAATCACGCCGCGCCACACTTTTTGTAGCGACCTGACTTACTTACGATATCAGTAGAGCGAAGAAGAAGCGTCTCCGACGTTGCTCTCGCTCGCTCCTTACGGACTCTACGAAGTGTCACACGCCTACCATGAATTGTACAAATTTATATTACTACTTACATCCAATCGTGATTACGAAACATTCTGCGAAGTAGTACGATTACGTTTTAGTTTGAAAATAATTCTTTCGGATTATATGTTATCCCTTTTTTTTTTTATTTTAATGTTTTACGATTTTACATCTTATACATAACTTCCTCGCATTTAGATCAGTCATAACTGTGAGTGAATTAAATCTATCTATAATTTTCTTTTCTATATCGATATAATTATGATTATATATTTTCGATGAAGTATCATCCATAATAATTCGGATTTCCGGAAAGGGAAATCATCTTTCCTGACAGATTATCTCAGATGATCTAACAATATCGTGCAAAAGATAAGAGTTTTGTAAAAAAAACCATTGGAATTGCCATATTATTTTTTGCCCTGCATATATGCATTGGTATATTCGCGTGCGAGACAGTTGGTTGAATTGCACACTGCTAATTTCGTTAATTGCCGCGACGAACTCCGCGTATACATGCTATCACATGCTGATAGCGATACGTGGTAATTATGACATGTACATGATGCGAGCGTGCATGAGAACAGACATCGAGCACTCGAATTTACGTTTCCCGTTTGTTCTGAGAGATTATGGCGAAGTCTTTGATGAATCTGTAAACAGATAATGCAATGAGATAGTAATGAACAAGAGAAATAAGGACATAATTTACATGATCTCGATCCAATGTAATTAGTGTATCCTAAACGTAAACTTTTTTAATGACGAAATCGCAAAGTATATATATCGAAGAAATAAAACTTATATGATATTTTGAATAATGTACAGATTTTTAGATTCCGTTATGTATCTGATTTATATAATTCAATATTAAAAACCCGAGTCATCCTGTATTCCGAACATATCGCAAACTTAAAAGTGATGTTGGACAGAGCTTTTGTACAGAGTACAAAGACTGTCGTATATCTTTTTTTAACTTTTTTTTTTTTTTTTTTTTTTTAATGTTAAATTGGTTATTTTTGCTAGTACTTCCCGAGGGTATGTTGACCTGGATGCGATCCTCGGTGATTGTGCGCCTTGGAGCGACGTTGCGACGGCGATATCGCTGCCACTCCCGCGCCGGATCACAAGACCAGGACGACCCACCAGCGCAAGAATCAATTCAGGCGACAACACTGACATCAAAAATGAAGGAGGTACGTGCTTGAACGCGATAAATTTTTCTGCGATATATTAGTTCCATTTATAATAGCAGAGCAGAGTGATTTATGATTGAAATTATATATAGCGATCTACATATTACGTATGATATATAATGAAGCATAAAAGAGATATAAAATATTATTTTAAATATAATTTTAAAGATATAAAATATCTTTAAATACAAGGATGCAGATATCACTCGACTAAGACAGAACCTTCAATACCTCTAATGATGTCTTTTTATTTTTAAATTTATAGATAAAAGATATTTATTAGGCACTGAAGATTCTGTCAAGATTAGATTTTATTCCTGTGTTTGATCATATTCTTGATCTTTACTGATTTATTAAAAATATTTATTTTTATATTGTAAGAGATGCCGAATGAATCTGACTCGTATTAACAACAAAGCTTTATTCGATAATTGTTACGTGGACAACAATGTTCGTTGCACAGTCGACATTTGTTAACACTTAGGGGTTGGAGTAGCTGATTGTCCTGCATCCGACAACTGGAGTATCACCCAAGTCGGTGCTTATATTCACGCACCCGCGACAATTGCCTAAAGACTTTGGGTCGTGGTTCTCGGCATGCACACCACAATGAGAATAAGATTGTGTATCGCAAAACGATCTGTAGTTCGATCTGTAGAATCGTCGTGAATCGACTGACTGATGATTTCTCTGACAAACAAGAATTGCGGATAAACGACACGTGTTCAACTCCGGATGAAACCGAGCTTGAGATAACAGGCGCCGCGCGCGTTGGTCGGTCAATTTTCGGCTAAATAAAAGTCGCGGATTTCTTCCGTACGCGGGCGTACAACGTTCTTTGAAACGTCACCGAAACACGAATAATAATAATGCGTAATTCTCGCGCATGTGTCGTCGTCGCGTGTGCGTGTGCGTGTCGCAGCCGAATCCGTGAATATTATTTTTTTACGTCGTGCACGACTTTCGCTTGTATGTTAACAGTCTTTATTGATTGATTATTAAAATCTTTTTATTTTTTTTATAATGTTGGATCTTGTTGTAGGTATTCGGACTGATAGTCCCGATAACGACAGTGCGTTCTCGGACACGGTGTCTATGTTATCCAGCGAAAGTTCGGCAAGTAGCAGCGGTTCCGGACACAAGCCACCTCAGACCGCCATGCACACAGCTCCTCAACAACAACCGCATCAGCTTGTCGGTGAGTCTTCGTTTCGTTGCTTTACAACATGTAAGATTATTGATTAACTCATTCATTTAATTCGCGTATTCGTATTTAAGTTTTTTTTCTTTTTTTTTTCTTTTTTTTGGTTCTTGCAAAACTTTCATTCGTTTCGCACTGTTTCGTAACATTTGAAATGCTTCAGCGGCAACTATCGCATTTTTATAATATTATCTGTGTTTATGTTCATACCAGATGTGCGATGTGCAGTGCGAGTAGATATGTTTATGATTATCTTTACAGATGCGGCGAGCAGAGCAAAGGCAGAGAAAATCCGTCTGGCGTTGGAGAAGATGCGCGAGGCGAGCGTGCAGAAGCTCTTCATCAAGGCGTTTACGTTGGACGGCAGCGGTAAAAGCCTCCTGGTCGACGAAGGGATGAGTGTCGCGCATGTGTGTAGATTGCTCGCGGACAAAAATCATGTACCGATGGATCCGAAGTGGGCCGTGGTCGAACACCTGCCCGATCTCTTCATGGGTGAGTCTATTATCTCTTATTTGCTGACTGCTAATTGTTAAGCCGGTGACGCAATGATTGTTCCTCCGAGGGGCAATATTTATTCACAACATTAATTTTAATGCTGGCATACCCATTTTGAATCGATATTTATTAATGCTTGATGTTCCCTTTATATTATATTTTATTAAAAATAATATTTATTAAATGTGTACTGTGTGTTATAATATATTATAAAATTTTTAAAATAATATTAATATAAATAATATTAAAATAATATTATATGATTTTATGTATTGCGATGTCGTTATATTCGTAAGTAAAATTTATGTCTATTTTTTCTCTCTTCGCGTCATTGGTACTTTTTAAAATTTATATTTAGTTACATGTTTTAAGAGACGATTTTATCATGTTATCACAATGCTGGCTTAGCTGAATGAATAATGAACGAGGATTAATTGAATTTTCAGAAAGGGTTTACGAGGACCACGAGTTGTTGGTAGAGAATCTTTTACTGTGGACTAGGGACTCTAAAAACAAACTACTCTTCGTCGAAAGACCAGATAAGACACAGTTATTCCTCACGCCCGAGCGATTTCTTCTCGGACCGACAGATCGCGGCGGTGGCGAATACGATGATCACTCGAGAAATATCCTACTGGAGGAATTCTTCTCGAGCAGTAACGTCAGTGTGCCTGAGGTAAGCGGAAGGACGTCATGTTTACTCGTTGCGTCTTGGCAATCGAATCTTGGCAACGAATTCGCTGACATACATGCCGTTTCTCTTCTGCATCGATTACCATTCGCTTCCAGGTCGAGGGTCCTTTGTACTTGAAATCGGACAGTAAAAAGGGCTGGAAGAGGTATCACTTCATTTTACGAGCTTCTGGTCTTTATTACTGGCCGAAGGAAAAGACGCGCACTGCTCGAGATCTCGTCTGTCTGGCGACCTTTGATGTTAATCAGGTTTGTCATATATATA